GATCAAAAGCATGTTATCCTTTTAAAGATATAGAGATTTAATATTGGCAAGGTGCAAGTATAAACATAATTTAGTTATCTCTTTTGAATAGGCTATTTCTGGGTAGGCGGCATATCAAACACGGTAGATGCCTGAAGTTGATATTATCAAATTTTTTTTTCATATATATTCATACGTAATATTCGAAATTTTTAAAGCGTGGTTTATGATTGACAAACAATTACTACTTTAACATATACAAAACTAAAACAAAGATAATCACCAATCCTTAGTGTATATGTTAAATTTTTAAATATTTGCATCTCATAATTATATGAATATTCAATTATTCTAATGGTTCTATTTTCAAATACAGTAGTTGGATTTCAAAGTTTCTGTTTAATTAATTTGAATTATGAGTACTTTTTAAACTTAATTGAATGTTTGATCAATAGATTGATTTTAATTTCTTTATAAGTGTACAAATGACCAGTCAATCAAATCGAACCCATTGGAGTCGGATTAATGGAACTTAAAAATGGATTAGACTGAATTTTTTTAAATACAAATCAAACTTTATTATAATAAAAAGCAAGGCTGCTGATAGGTTTTCGAACTGGACAAATCAATAATTCTTGTTCATTATATACCATCACAAAAATTATGCAATACCTATCAAATACTTACCTCAATATTGAACCAGGGATGTCGATATGGCCAATTGGCTACCCAAAGCGTGGTGTTTTTGCGTACAAGAAAAGGAGTAGTTGGGATAAGATCGTCCCTAATTTGTGCAGATATTTGTGTGGACAAAAATTAATAAAATATCTCGAGCCAAGAGGCCACTTGTCAATAATATGCAACTCATCTGGTCCTAAAACTCTTCACTCAAAACGCAAGTGGAAGTAGATGTTTCGTGTCAGGGACAGGCTTGTGAACTGGAGAGGCAAATTGCATGCATGTGGGTCTGGGTCTGGGTCTGTGTCTGATCCAATTACTGTTTAATTTAAGCTTCAATGCATGCATACGTGAACGTAGGTAGGGTCATAAGCTAGCCGAATTCGAATCCGAGAAAACAAAAGTTGTTGCACCACTGGCTTGTTTTTGGACCAAGTTGATCAAGTAAACGTGGCTGATAAAGTTGAGGGATAGCCACAGAATTTTAGGGTTATCTAAGGTTTAAAATTTGGTATGAACTTCACTTTCGATGGCAGCCAATGTTGTTTAGAATTTAGCTATTGTCCAAAAGGGGTCCTAGTTTCGTGGAATTGACGAATTGAATTCTAGGAGGATGACTCGGCAAAGATACAATTATGAGGAGCAGCGTTGGATATATGATGTGAAACTCACTGTTGTTAGGTGAGTTGAACTGTTGATTAAGAGTTTACTAATCATGGCTACATCCTGCTTACAAATGAATTCAAAGAAAGGTCTCAACTCTCTAGCCCCTCCACATCCCATCCACGGGGCGGGATATCAGAGATTTTTGTTATGCTATTTCTAATTAATCTAAATAAAGAGAATTCGTTTAAAATTCAACCACGTTCATGTAAAATCAATAAAATATAAAAAAAAAAGTATGTGATACTGTCCACTGTGACTTCTTAAAATTAACTTTTGAATCAAGTCAAAGAAAGAATAACAAAAAGATTGTCGAGGGTGCAGAGATTAAGGGTCATATATATAGATATAAGTAATAACAATTTTAAGAAAGTATGCATGAAAAAGGCTCGAATAATAAGATCACCACGGTGTTGGACATTTTATACAAACCTTTCATATTTATGAGGAAAGTGAAACGGTAGATTATCTAGACCATCCAACTAGCATAGCATCCCCAATCATCTAATGATATGGGAGGCATATCGGGACCCCAATATTACAGTATTCCTAGTGGGGGAAGGGAAGCATTAAAGACATTTTCTTACCTATTTAATGGGCGTCAGTTTCCTAGTTGCATGGGAAGTAAGCAAACTTTAATGCCTCTACTTTCGCTAAGACTTTAAGGGTGCGTTTGGTTCAATATTTCTATCCATATTCCCAATTTTATTCTTCAAATATTGTTTGGCACATTATTGCAGAAATATTATTATATTTTTTTAAGTATTTTTAAACCCCTTAAGTTTATTAATTTCATTAAATACCCCACAAAAAAAATTTTGAAAACTAACAAAAACACCCCCATCAACCCATACTTGTCAGATTCTGGCAACCATCGTCGGTGGTAGCCGAAATCTGTACAACGGCCTATACCACAACAACCACTAGTCGATAGTTCACCGATCTGGCCTTTTCTGGCCAGATCCACAGTAGATCTAGCCTGTGAATCTGGCTAGAAAAGGCCAGATCTGGCCGTCATTTTGACCTTTTCCAGCCATCAACGGCCATAGCAAGCCGTAGATCTGGCCTTTTCCAGCCAGATTCGTGGTGGATCTGACCGGAAAAGGCCATAACGACGCGTTACGACACAGATTGACCGGTCTATGTCGTAACGCAATTTTTCGGCCAGATTTCGGTGGTGGTGGCCGAAATCTGGCACTGCGGGTGGTGGAGGTATTTTTGCATTTTATATGTTGGGGTGTTTAATTAAATTAGTAAACCTAGGGGCTTTTTTATAAATTTTTAAATTTTACCTCGTAATACTCCTTATTCAACTATTCAATATTATTCCCAAAATCTTATCCAAAATAATAAACCAAACGGACCCTAAATTATTCATGAATATTTGTTTCTATCATGTCAACTTCAATCATCGTACTCGGTCGAATTGAGAACTGTATGATTAAGTTTCTCCCATTTTAGATTAAAAAAAAAAAAAAAAAAAGTGAAACATATATATCTTCTTATTACAAGTATTGATTAATAAATTTGATTTTCTTTCAATTGTTTATATTAGTTAACCAATTAATCATAATTGATCAATGAATTTTAAGTTGAAGACTGCTAAGGCACTAGAATTTTTCTATATATACTTATTTCTAAATTGGAATGGAGGGCTACATTGCCTTCACTTGACATAATATATAAGAAATGTTAATGTGGTTTGTCATAGAATTCTCAATAAAATGGATATAAATTGGGAAAAAAAAAAAAAATACCCTTTATGAATTGTATATAATTATATGATTGTTGATACTTGATTTTGACACCAACGACTGCACGTGTAAAGTGCTAAGCGGACTTAGAAATTACACGTAATATGGAAATGTGCAACGAAAGAATAAACAAGAGACAATTTTTAAAGTGGTTCGGATGATCAAAAGCAAATCTTACATCCATTATATTTATATTGATGGACGATTACAGTCAAGTCGTGGGTAGCAAGCTGAGTTACAATCTAGAGAGAGAATTTAAATACAGAGAGAGAGTCTGCTCTTGGAAGATTAAAAATGAACAGATCCCGTAAATGAGAAAGGAGCTCTCTATTTATAGTCGAGGGATTCAAGGTAATAATCATGATTTTGCTGTTAGGTAGGTGTGGTACAATTCCTAACTTGCTTCTTATTGGTTGACCGTACAGGAGATTTCCTTAAATCGCGTAATGCTTGGCAGGTGGACAATTCCTAGCCACTCACAAGCCAAGCTTTCACCTGTCATGTTGACGATAGCCTTACTTCTTCTGTCCTTGTGCGATGTGGCAGCGTCTGGATAGCACAAAACCTTCCTGAACTCTGATTGGCCCTTGCTGGCGTGAGCTTACGTCAGCTCTGATTTTTTTAAGCATAACATAAGCCCCCCCAATTCTTAAGGTTTAAGGATTGAACCTTGAGAACTTCATAATTATGTCGTCACCTGACTTATCCTGAGTGACGCTTGATCGAGCTGTAAGGAGACAAGCAGTTAAGATGATGTGAAACTAGTGGTTCAACCTGACCAGTGAGCTGTAAGGAGGTCACACATAGGTCTCTAAGAATAACACAAGCAACTTGAGGCAGCCTTCCTCCATAGGTTCAACGACCTAGGTCGAACCCTGCTCAGTGCTAGACCAACATACTTTGGACTTCATCCGTCGCTCATGACCTGAAAATACTTAGCAAATTTTTGCCAAAAACAAGGGGTCACATCGTCTTGAAATTGATATATGAAGAAAAGTGTTTTACTTGAATGACCTTTTTAGATGTTATCCGCTGTGCTTGACAGCTAGTTTGGTCAATAAAGTAAACTTTATTTTGATAGACGTGTCTCTTGCACAATAAGTGACAGCCATACATATTAAATGCAAGTTATATTGAAACGACATTCCTTTTCAGAGCATTAAATGTGGATGAGGGCGTATTTATTGTGGAGGAGATAACCGCATCGACGCTTGGTTACTCCAATGGAGGGAAACGTCGATTGGCACCCACGAAGCATGAAGGTTACTCTTCGTGTGGATTAACGACACGTGGTCATAATCAATGGCGAGAAACATATCCCGCCCAAGCGTCACTTGCTAGGGAAACCAATCGTCATCTTTTCCCTTATAAAACCCCAGGTTCGCTTCAAGTTTTATCATAGAACTTACATTTTCAAAGAGAAAAGCAAAGCTCTTGCACTTATGAAATCAATATTTTCTTCTTCCAGTTGATACGCACTCTTCGTTACTATAGGAAGTTCGTCCCTAGCAGTAAAGAGGTAAGGAGGACCCTTCTTCATTTTCCTCTTTTATTTCTGTTAAAAGCTTGACTTTACAGTAATGGTGGGTATGAACTGCCTGGTAAACCTATACGATGCATGTTTCTGGATAGTGGTAAAAAGAGAACTTTTTTTTTTTTAAAAAGTGAAAACTTGGGGCACAGATTCTTGGGAATTCATTCTCAAGGGTTTTTAGGGTTTTTCTAGAGGTTAAGAAAGGTAAATTATGGTTTCTTTTGCTCTTCCAAGTCATCATATAAGACATTATACGGAGATTGAGTCATCTCTGCATGTTACCCATTTTTCAGACTTTAGGAGCAATGGACACTTCAGGGACCAAAGCAGCTGAGGGGACGAGCTCGTAAGCGTCGAATACCTCAGCGGGTCCTGTGCGAGAGACATTATCAATGGCCACTCAAGACGAGATACAGAAAGCGGTGGACCAGTTCACACTTAACATAGATGTCTACCAGCACATGACGTACACAACTCAGAATCCCCCAGAGGGAATGGCTACGTTCTCCGAGGCGATCTTTAAGTGTGGGGCGTTGATACATTTTCACCCCTCCATCAGATCGATCCTCTATCACTTCGAGGTCGCACCATTGCAATTGACGCCTAATGCGTATATGATAGCGATTGCTATGTATATCGCATGTAGCGAAAATGGTCTTGGTAAGTTGACAGCGCTGGAGCTCGCATACACTTATTATTTGAAGAAGAGTAAAGATAAAGACTTTCTTTACCTCTCAAAGCGATCTTCGATCGAGGGAGGAATATTTGGTTACCCTAGTAATATCGGGGCATATGAGACCAAATTTTTTTTTTTTTTTTTTGCATACGATGATGTTTGTCAATTTAGGGAGCCGAGTAGGCTTTCCTTTCCTTTGATTTGCGAACTGCCCCTTTTTCTTCAGCTCCTCTTCAATAGGTGAAATTAACAAACTTTTTTTCTCCTTAGAGAAAATAAGACGACTAGGTCGACGGCTCTGATAGACTTTAACTACATTGTGACATTCGATCGTCTACCCGAACAGAGTCATGACGCAAGACTGCTCGTGACTATTGCCAACTTGCGAAAGTACGGTTTCTTCAAACCAAAAGCATCTTTGGAACCCCTAGCCGGTAAGTATCTTCACACTTAGGACCTTTTTTTTTTTTTTTTTTTTNTGTTCAATTTAATTAACTTCTCATAAACCGTCCCTAAATTTTCTTTTCTTCTATGATGCTATAATCCAAATTGGAATATTTTCCTTCCCCTTTAAATAATTGTATCTATCACAGTCCTTATCTCTTGCCTTTGTTCCATTCCAATAATTCAAAAAACGACATACTATGAATTGATTGGTTATGAGAAAAATTATTTTTTGTTTTTTCTAGTAATTATTTCATTTTTGATATTGAGAATTTCGATATGCCTCTATCAAATATTTTTGTCTACTGTGCATGCATGTTAGACGAGGACGACGAGGATGACAATTGTTTGCATCTCTTCCTTTCCTAGATAAACAATTAATTGCTTATTTCCTCGCAATTTCTGATCTTAGAATCTTCATCCATTTTCAGTGTGTATAGATCACCCTTACTCTATCTCTTTTGCCCTGAAATAGTGGTCTTCTGTTACCCATCCAATAATTGAAGAAATTGTGCCCCACAATTGCATTTAAATTAGGTCATATTACCCTATAAAAGGTGACATTATAAGAACCCTTCTCTCACCATCCATTAATTCAAATATATATCCTACTTCGCTACCATGGAATCTTTCAAATGTTCAAATCTAAACTCTTGCCATGGCCTTGCCTCTATATTCATTTTATTACTCTTTTCTACTACAACATGATGCTTGCCAGCAAGATTACAACAATCCCAATTAAATTCAAGTATTGAATTTATTAAAAATTCATGTGGGTCAACAATGTATCCTAATATATGTTACAAGACACTCTCATCTTATGCAGGCACCATAAAGACAAATCCAAGAGAGTTGGCGAATGCAGCCCTGTCGGTGAGCCTGAAAGAAGTGCAGTCTACTTCTGCATTGGTACAAAAGTTTTCGAAAGGGCGTGACTTGAGGCCTAGAGAAGCCGGTGCCATAAGGGATTGTGTGGAGACGATAAAAGACTCGGTTGATGACCTGCAACAATCTTTGGCAGCAATGAAGGATCTAAAAGGCCCTGAATTTGAATGGAAAATGAGTGATATATTAACTTGGATGAGTGCTGCTTTAACAAATGAAGATACGTGCATGGACAATTTCGAAGGATATGGCATGAATGTGAAAATTAAGGACACTGTTAGAGGATGCATTGTAAGGGTTTCGCAGTTAACTAGCAATGCTTTAGCCTTCATTAATAAACTCAAATACTAGTACTTTAACTTTCTGATTAAATTAATTTATTTATGTTTTGATCCAGTAGCTATATCTATATGAATTATATATATATATATATTATATATATATAATATATATATATATATATATATATATATATGCATGTAGCGCAATGCTTCTTTAATTAATATTGTTTATGATTTCTTGAATGCCTCATTGAAAGCAAATTAATGAAATGCATGGTGTGCATGGGAAAAGAAAAAACTTTTTTGTAAACATCCTTCTTAATTTAAAACATTTATTTCTGTTTTGGAATCGTTTAGACATTTGACAAGCCTTGCCATCAATAGTATCGTTTGCTGGAGCCCATCGTTTTAGTTGATTGCTTTATTTGTTCTAATTGTTCAATATGCACATCTGACATTGCTGGAGTTATCTACTATTCAAATTCACATGAACGAGAAATAAAATTAACCATCTTAGGGCGCCTGATGGTAAAAATGTAAAAGAAGATTCTATAAACTTTTGAGTTTGTGTCCTCGCAGACTTTAATAGAGGTGACCACTGAAGGGTTATCGGTCGTAAGATTAGTTTATGTGCATGCAAACTGGTACAAACTTCTCGACAAACAAAAAAAAATCGAATCAAATCAAATTGGAGAACTTTTTAGTGAATTTCCAGAATATATGCAGCAAGAAACTTATATTTGTATAAATTCTATTAAATGGAGTACACACACACACATTATACAATTACAAACAACCTCACTATACTTCACATACTAATTCTGAGGTCTGAAAACCTCTTACTTTTTTCTTGCAGCAACCATGGCATGTCAAGCGGCGGCTTGGCCAACCGCGCAGCCGAGATTTTAATAAGAAATATACATAATATATCTTTTTTTTTTTATAATTATAACATGAACAGAAGCATAACTATTGATCAAAGACAAGGCATTGCTAGTCATGTGACAATGTTCACATTCGGCTTCTACCCCATTTTCCCATTCATGTATTACCTTCAAAGCCACTCTGCAAGTGGTTTCGTCAGTCAAAGCAAGCACTAACCCAAGTCTGTATATCACTCATCATAAGCTCAAATTAGAAGCATTTATCTGACCCCACTCACCAATAGACCATCCTGATCTCATCAACTGAATCACTCAGCTCCTCTAGCAATCTTGTATGGCTTCCCCCTCTCTAGGGTTCCTCCGGAGCCTTTCGACGATTTAACATGACGGCCGACGTTGATTTAGCCGTTGCAAGAGTCATTAAGGGCTACATGGGCAAGGAGCTTAGGACTAGTTTGGATTAGCTGGCATGCCCAGCAACGTCGTATAGCAAAGTTCTGGGATAAGTTGTAGACTCAAGATGTTTTAAGAACTCTGTGCTAACGCTTTATGGAGCAGGAGGGTAGAATCGAGTATCGGCTGAGCTTGAGTTTGTAAGTGAAGTAATGGCTAGTAGAATGAGAAAAGAGTTGAGCAAGTGTTTTGCAATTGAACCTTCCATATCTTACTTAATTCTGTAAGTAATCTCTGAAGTTGGGAGGTAATGAAGTGATGAAAGTAGAGGAGAAAGGGTCCCAATTTATAGGGGGAAAAAATTGATATCCAAACAATGGAACCTACCAAATGTCAAGATCAAAAAGCTGTGTAATCCTTTTAAAGATATGAGATTTAATAGGCAGTTGCAAGTATAACATAATTTAGTTATCTCCTTTTGAATAGGCTATTTTCTGGGTAGGCGGCATCTCAAACACGGTAGATGCCTCGAATTTGATATTATCATTAATTTTTATTTCATTATATTTCATACGTAATATTTCGAAATTTTTAAGCGTGGTTTATGATTGACAAACAATTACTACTTTAACATAATACAAAACTAAAAAAGATTAATCACCAATCCTTAGTGTATATGTTAAAATTTTAAAATTGCATCTCATAATTAATATAATATTCAATTATTCTAATGGTTCTTCTATTTCAAATACAGTAGTTGGATTTCGAAAGTTTCTGTTTATAATTTGAATTATGAGTACTTTTTAAACTTAATTGAATGTTTGATCAATAGATTGATTTTTTAATTTCTTTATAAGTGTAACAAATTGACCAGTCAATCAAATCGAACCCATTGGGAGTCGGATTAATGGAACTTAAAAATGGATTAGACTGAATTTTTTTAATACAAATCAAACTTTATTATATAAAAAGCAAGGCGCTGATAGGTTTTCGAACTGGACAAATCAATAATTCTTGTTCATTATAACCATCACAAAAATTATGCAATACCTATCAAATACTTACCTCAAATTGAACCAGGGAGTCGATATGGCCAATTGGCTACCCCAAACGTGGTGTTTTTGCGTACAAGAAAAGGAGTAGTTGGGATAAATCGTCCCTATTTGTGCAGATATTGTGTGTGACAAAAATTAATAAATATCTCGAGCCAAAGGCCACTTGTCAATAATATGCAACTCATCTGGTCCTAAAACTCTTCTCTCACTCAAAACGCAAGTGGAAGTAGATGTTTCGTGTCAGGACAGGCTTGTGAACTGGAGAGGCAAATTGCATGCATGTGGGTCTGGGTCGGGGTCTTGGTCTGATCCAATTACTGTTTAATTTAAGCTTCAATGCATGCATACGTGAACGTAGGTAGGGTCATAAGCTAGCCGAATTCGAATCCGAGAAAACAAAGTTGTTGCACCACTGGCTTGTTTTGGACCAAGTTGATCAAGTAAACGTGGCTGATAAAGTTGAGGGATAGCCACAGAATTTTAGGGTTATCTAGGTTTAAAATTTGGTATGAACTTCACTTTCGAGGCAGCCAATGTTGTTTAATTTAGCTATTGTCCAAAAGGGGTCCTAGTTTCGTGGAATTGACGAATTGAATTCTAGGAGGATGACTCGGCAAAGATACAATTATGAGGAGCAGCGTTGGATATATGATGTGAAACTCACGTTGTTAGGTGGTTGAACGGTTGATTAAGATTTACTAATCAGGCTACATCCTGCTTACAAATGATTCAAAAAGGTCTCAACTCTCTAGCCCCTCCACATCCCATCCACGGGGCGGGTATCAGAGATTTTTTTATGCTATTTCTAATTAATCTAAATAAAGAGAATTCGTTTAAATTCAACCACGTTCATGTAAAATCAATAAAATATAAAAAAAGTATGTGATACTGTCCATGTGACTTCTTAAAATTAACTTTTGAATCAAGTCAAAGAAAGAATACAAAAAGATTGTCGAGGGTGCAGAGATTAAGGGTCATATATATATATAAGTAATAACATTTAAGAAAGTATGCATGAAAAGGCTCGAATAATAAGATCACCACGGTGTTGGACATTTTATACAAACCTTTCATATTTATAGGAAAGTGAAACGGTAGATATATCTAGACCATCCAACTAGCATAGCATCCCCAATCATCTATATATGGGAGGCATATCGGGACCCAATATACAGTATTCCTAGTGGGGGAAGGGAAGCATTAAAGACATTTTCTTACCATTAATGGGCGTCAGTTTCTATGTTGCATGGAAGTAAGCAAACTTTAATGCCTCTACTTCGCTAAGACTTTAAGGGTGCGTTTGGTTCAATATTCTATCCATATTCCCAATTTTATTCTTCAAATATTGTTTGGCACATATTGCAGAAATATTATTATATTTTTTAAGTATTTTTAAACCCCTAAGTTTATTAATTTCATAATACCCCACAAAAAAATTTTGAAAACTAACAAACCACCCCCATCAACCCATACTTTGTCAGATTCTGGCAACCATCGTCGGTGGTAGCCGAAATCTGTACAACGGCCTATACCAACACAACCACTATTCGATAGTTCACCGATCTGGCCTTTTCTGGCCAGATCCACAGTGATCTAGCCTGTAATCTGGCTAGAAAAGGCCAGATCTGGCCGTCATTTTGACCTTTTCCAGCCATCAACGGCCATAGCAAGCCGTAGATCTGGCCTTTTCCAGCCAGATTCGTGGTGGATCTCCGGAAAAGGCCATAACGACGCGTTACGACACAGATTGACCGTCTAGTTCGTAACGCAATTTTTCGGCCAGATTTCGGTGGTGGTGGCCGAAATCTGGCACGGCGGGTGGTGGGGTATTTTTGCATTTTATAGTTGGGTGTTTAATTAAATTAGTAAACCTAGGGGCTTTTATAAATTTTTAAATTTTACTCGTATACTCCTTATTCAACTATTCAATATTATTCCCAAAATCTTATCCAAAATAATAACCAAACGACCCTAAATTATTCATGAATATTTGTTTCTATCATGTCAACTTCAATCATCGTACTCGGTCGAATTGAGAACTGTATGATTAAGTTTCTCCCATTTTAGATAAAAAAAAAAAAAAAAGTGAAACATATATATCTTCTTATTACAAGTATTGATTAATAAATTTGATTTTCTTTCATTGTTTATTTAGTTAACCAATTAATCATAATTGATCAATGAATTTAAGTTGAAGACTGCTAAGGCACTAGAATTTTTCTATATATACTTATTTCTAAATTGGAATGGAGGGCTACATTGCCTTCACTTGACATAATATATAAGAAATGTTAATGTGGTTTGTCATAGAATTCTCAATAAATGGATATAAATTGGGAAAAAAAAAAAAAATACCCTTTATGAATTGTATATATTATATGATTGTTGATACTTGATTTTGACACCAACGACTGCACGTGTAAAGTGCTAAGCGGACTTAGAATTAACGTAATATGGAAATGTGCAACGAAAATAAACAAGAGACAATTTTTAAAGTGGTTCGGATGATCAAAAGCAATCTTACATCCATTATATTTATATTGATGGACGATTACAGTCAAGTCGTGGGTAGCAGCTGGTTACAATCTAGAGAGAATTTAAATCAAGAGAGAGTCTGCTCTTGGAAGATTAAAATGAACAGATCCCGTAAATGAGAAAGGAGCTCTCTATTTAGTGTCAGGGATTCAAGGTAATATCATGATTTTGCTGTTAGGTAGGTGTGGTACAATTCCTAACTT